GGATTGTAAAACCTCTTCAGGCCTGGGTGGACCTAATGTAGACTCTTAAACATAGATTGTAGAACCTCTTCAGGCCTGGGTGGTTGATTAATCACGAGTCTACATTACTCATGTCTCAAAACAATCTATGCAAGGTAAGTGGCTTTTGCGCACTGCGAGCACTGCCAGATTTGCAAGGGGAACTTGAGATGACAAGCAGCGGGTAAGCGAGCTGGATCAAAAACTCCTACCACGAGCACAATCTAATTGCAAGGCTGCATCAAGCGTGATAAGAACAAAAAGAGCCTCAGCTCTGTCAGTTCTATCAGTATTTTTTATGTATTCTAGATAGATCTTTTTTGGGGGGGCGGCATCCATTCTGCTGACATGGTTTTTTCCGCCGACTCTGAGCCTCGATGTTCAGGTGGATGAGAGTGGTGAGAGTGGTGAGCGCATGACTGAAAGGAACGACGACCAACACGCAGCACATCACGGACCACTGCCTTTTTAAGCTTTCCAGGGAGGGAGTGCTTGGTGACAAGTCGAGCTGCTTTGTCTACGACCTGTACTGAATCGATCACTCACGTCCACGCAATCGAACCTCGGTGCAGCTCGTGTTGTCCAGCAGTAAAAACTGCACTCTCTTCAAGTTCTTCCTGCTTCTCGCAGTAACAGGATGTTGCGACTTAAAAAAGGTTCTGCTAACGTGAATTCGAAAAATGAGAAGGTGAGAAACCTAGACGACGAGTGGCCCCAATGCATTTTTCATCACGTAGGAGGTCAGAGTGTGAGTTATCTATTGAGTGTTCAGTGTGAAGTGTTAAGTCGAGTGACTTGAGGTAGTGTGTGGGTCTGTGTGTGTGTGTGTATCTATGTCTGTGTGTGTATGAGTCTCTGTCTGTGTGTGTGTCCGAGTAAAATGAGGCAGTGCGTGGGTCTCTGTGTGTGATGTGTGTGTGTGTGCATGAGTCCCTGTCTGTGTGTGTGTCCATGTCTGCTGCTGGTGAAGGTCTTCACTGTAGATATAGTGAACGAAGTAGCGCGCAGGCCTCCCAAACCCCCCACCGGCGGCCACGCGGTGACAGCCCAGCTCATCGTCGTGAGCATTTGAGCTGCTGGTAAGGGGAGAAGCAGCGTGCACGCCTCCAGGAAATCTCAATGAAAAAAGCGAGCTGGAATGAACACAGAAAATTGCTGAGGCAGGTACGCAACAAGTTTGTCGGAGCAGTGACCTGTCAGAGGAGATGCGTCCATCGATATACGATCAGAGGTAACGGTTTCCTTCACTCCAGGACACAGCTTTTCTAGGATGTAGTTAACCAACCACTATGGTTGTCATTGACTAATTGACTGTCTCAAACAAAAACGTGACAAAGTAGCATGAGGTGACACACAGCAGGCACTGCAGATGTTTAGCGTACTCTCGCTGTTCAGCTCGCGACTAGTATCATGGTGAACGAAGTAGCGCGCAGGCCTCCCAAACCCCCCACCGGCAGCCAAGCTGTGACAGCCCAGCTCATCGTCGTGAGCATTTGAGCTGCTGGTAAGGGGAAAAGCAGCGTGCACGGCTGCAGGAAATCTCACTGAAAAAAGCGAGCTGGAATGAAAATAGAAAATTGCTGAGAAAAAAGAAAATTGCTGAGGCAGCTACGCACTCTCGCCTGCATTCCGCGCACTCGACACGCACGGTCTCCGCAGAGGGTTGCGCGGGTACCGGTCAAATCGCACTCTCGCCTGCATTTCGCGCACTCGACACGCACGATCTCCGCAGAGGGTTGCGCGGGCATGGGACAAATCGCACTCTCGCCTGCATTTCGCGCACTTGACATGCACGATCTCCGCAGAGGGTTGCGCGGGCATGTGACAAATCGCACTCTCGCCTGCATTTCGCGCACTCAACATGCACGATCTCCGCAGAGGGTTGCGCGTGCAGGGGACAAATCGCACTCTCGCCTGCATTTCGCGCACTCGACACGCATGATCTCCGCAGAGGGTTGGTTGCGCGCGCAGGGGACAAATCTGACTCTCGTCTGCATTTCGCGCACTCGACACGCGCAGAGGGTTGCGCGCGCAGGGGACAAATCGCACTCTCAGCTGCATTTCGCGCACTCGACACGCACGATCTCCGCAGAGGGTTGCGCGCGCAGGGGACAAATCGCACTCTCGCCTGCATTTCGCGCACACGACACGCACGATCTCCGCAGAGGGGTGCATTTTCGGTTGACGCTGTTCGTCCACCACCGTCCACCGTCCGCCTTTAAGAGAGAATTTATAAGAGTGGGGAAAGGTTTTTCATTAGGACATCTCCCGCGCAAGTTTTCCAATACTCATACTCATACTTTTACTTTACTTGCATCCTTGCACTGGTTGCATCCTTGGACTGGGATTGCACTTACACTTGCATGCTTGCCCTTGGATGCTTTTTGCCCTTACACTGGGATATGTATTAGACGTGTCAGTGTTCAAGTGTCAGTGTGGAAGCGTAAGTGTTCAAGTGTAAGTGTAGAAATGTCAGTGTTCAAGTGCAAGTGTGGAAGTGTCAGTGTGTAAGTGTCAGTGTCGCAGTGTCCGTGTTCAAGGGATTTTCCGGAAGAACCCTTCGCAATGCTTTCGGGAAAAAACAATACGCAAAAGCCGCCTCGCCTCATTCCGATGGTCACGGGGTCGTCTTCACCTCGCTCCTTCCCTTTTCGGATGGTCCTTACAAGGACGAGGACGGGCCCGGCCGGCTCGCTTCCGCAAGGCAAGTGGGACGTTCCCACCAATGGGGTGTGCATGAAAATAGGGAGACCTCCCAGGCAACGACCCCTGATAGATTGGTTGGGAGGTCACCCTATTAAAAGACATACACAAATGAACACTCTTGGTGCCCGGTCTTCGGTGCAAATTCATGCATGCGTGGCATGACAGCGATGGACGGCATCTGCAAGGTCACAGAAGCTCAAGACTGGACTCGTCAAGACCATCTGCTGAATATCCACTCCAGGTAGTTCAAAAAACCACCGCGGCCTTGACATCTTTTCCGGAGAATCCCTGAGCTGTCCAAGGGATGCAAGACATTCTTTGAAAACAACAAGTGAGAAGTGTGTGGACTCATCGCAACGTCCGATTCCGACCGCTCCAATCTCGGGGCCTGGTCTTCTCGCAAGAAGCGGCCAGCCTGCACAATCGCCTGTCGACCATGTTTGCATCTCCTGTATAGAATGTTTGCCGACATGGACACTTAAAACATCTTTAAACCAAACAATGTAGGCAACAAAAGAGAAGCAAACATTAGTAAAGACGGTTGGGGATTCTTTACTGCCTTGTTTTGACAACTATATATTATAGACATATATGATATACTATATAATGTCTTTTACCTTGCTTTGACACCTGAAGGCTCCGCGATGTGCCTTCGTCGCCGTGGAGATTTGCCGCGAACCCGTGGCTAGCACCACTGCACGGGAGCTCTCCCTGCAAAAAGGCCGTGGATCTGGAGAATTGTGCAAGCACTCAAGCTACTTTTGATCACGTTCCCACGGCCTAAGAAGCTTGTTTTAGTGGTTTCGAATCGAAAGTTCAGAGGAAAAGAACGAACGAAGGCCGGCCTTATCCTGCTCTTAATCGCAGCTGCCATTTTCGACATTTGGCCCTTCGCAGGACCTCGTTCAACGAGCAACGAATCGCCGGACCATCCACACGGACGTGGTCGTAACAAGGAAAGGTTCAACGCCTGAGGTGAGCATCTGTGATGCCTCGATTGAAATGTCTGCACTCCTCAGCCATTGAGAACCAAACATAGCACTTTCCAGTTTCGATCGGCATTTTGGTCTGAGCTGAGGCTTACACATCTGCGGCAAGAGCATGCAATCGAGGAACGTGACTGTCGTCTCCTCATCAAAAGCACCGCAACGTCCATTGATTTCGGAAAATGCATTTCCATCAAACCGCTTGCTCTATGTGAAGGAAAGCTGGGCACATGCATGAAGAAGGATCTCCTGTTCATTCAGGCGAACTGGCCTGAAGGATGGTACTGCAGCTAGCACCTGCTGAAAAACAAACAAAAACAACCCAGTCTTCCACACCGGGCACCAACCGACCCGTACACCGTGCGAGGCCTGGTCACCTTTGAGGTCCACTCCTTGCAGCAACTCGTTGGCAGCGGTCACGGCCTCCAGGCGTTTTTGGTCAATGGCAGGGATGGTTTTTCTCTTTTTTGGTCAATTTCCGGTCAAACGGGAGGAATGGAGGAGGCTGAATACCAGCCCTAGCTGCAAATCTCTTTTGTTGCAAACCTCTGCTTGCACGCGCCTTGAACGCCTGATAAGTAGCTTGTGGTCCAACTGCGCGAATCACTGCTCTTCCACTTTCTTGGATTCTGTTTTTGATGTCCTTCGACAAGCCTAAGTGCGCCACATGTCACACCAGGCCCCCGTCAAAGGTGTTTTGTCTGTGCAATGGAATCGTCGCCCTGGTCATTCAACGTGGTCCATGATACACGAGGACCTGGTTGCACTGAACGGCATGGTTACTAAAGACACGAACGCCTGCCGTTCGCCGGCCCGGACAAGGTTCTTCGGTACCCAAGTACACCAGCATAGACCCCAGAGAGCCAAACCCTGGGCCGCAGCACCCTGCAGCACCCTGCAGCAACACCAGCACCCAGGCTCCGAACTTCCAAAACTTGAAGTAAGAAACCTCAAGAGCTCTTCCGATCGGATTTACCATGTAGTCCAGCACCGTGTAGACCACCAAGCCCTTGACCAAGCGATCGAGCTCATATCACCCGACAGCTCAGAAATGCGAAAATCAGAGACCGCGCCACGGCACTGGTCATCTGTGCTGGTAGCAGTCCCAAGTCATCTGCCACATCCCCCCCAGTCTACTTAAGCACTTAAAGAAAACTCCTGTCGAACCCAATGGGTGAATGCATCAATCAAGTGCATCAAACGGTACAGCAGTGGCAAGTGCAACAAGTCCTTTCGATCTTCTCAAACACAGAGAGCACAAACTAACTATAACTATATATTCCCCTTCATGACTCAAGCTGCACGCTTTCTTTCGGAACCAAAGGAGCTTTTGCTGAACCTTTTGGAAGCAAACAAGTCCCCAGTGGATTCCTGGCCAGACCCGCAAGGAGTTCACATGTTCACATCTGGAAGCATGACCTGCCTTCTCAGAAGAAAGACGTCTGTCTTGTCGATTCCTCGGAATTCGGAATGTGAGA